GAGAATAAGGTCGTGATTTAGTCATAGCCACGACTTTTATCTCCTCCAACAGTGCTTCTCAAAGTCAAGGTGCTGCCCACGGAAGTCCCAGGTGGCACCAGCGCCAGCTCCCAGCACCACCCTTGTGAGCAGGGAGGCTCTGGTGATCATCCTGATTCTCGGGGCCTGGTGGGCGGGTAAAGGGCACATTTCCTGAGTATTCATTCCGCAGACTTGGTTCCCTATAAATGAGCTCTGGAGTGAGTCTGTGTGCTTCATTTGCTTCTGAATGGAGTTCTTTACAAACTCAAGGCAAAGTGCTCTTTCTTGGGCAGCCAGAGACCCAAAGGATTTTTTTTTTAATCAGGTTGTCTGCTAGGTCCAGTTTTCCAGGACAGGCGTCAACAACATGCAAAAACAGGAAGCTCAGGCCGGCCGAGTGGCTCAGTTGGTTAAGAGCGAGAGCTCTGAGGAACAGGGTCGCCGGTTTGATTCCAACATGGGCCAGTGAGCTGCGCCCGAGCTGAGCTACCGCTCATCCCGCATGGGATGGTAGGCTATGCCCACCTACAACTAAGATTGAGCCCGGGACCTTGATCTGAGTGGCCATGAGCTGCAGACAGGCGGCCGGATGATGACTGGACTTGGAGCTGAGCTAGCTGCGCCCTCCACAACTAAGATTGAAGGACAACAACTTGGCTGTTCCCCTTCCCCAATCCCCCAACACTGTTCCCCCTCCCCAATTCCCCAACAAAAAAATATAAAAAGAGGGCCGGCCGAGTGGCGTTTTGGTTAAGAGCTGGCTTGGGAAGCCAGAGGGCCCCGGTTCGGATCCCACATATGAGGGCCAGTGACACTGCCCTCTACAAAAACAAAAACAAAACACACAAAATAAATAAATAAATAAATAAAAAGAAAAAATATAGGAAGCTCACTTGCCAGTACTGAGTTTAGTTCATGTCAAAGGGGTGGTAGCTGGAGAGGGAGAACTATATACTTTTGTGTGTGCATACGCTCACACCCCAAAAGAAAAACCTGCCCATTCCAACTGGCAGGAGAGAAGAATTATAGTCTCTACCTGAGGAAAAGAGCTCACCATAGCCAGGAGAAACACCACCTGACCAAACAAAGAGGTTGCACAAAAGCTGCCACCTCCTTCCCTCCTGCTGCAGAGCTGGGGACTTCCAAAGTCGTGGGTCACAGGGAATACAGACCCCACAGGCCCTGCAGGCCCGGGGTTCTCGGGCAGGCTGATACAGGCAGATGGCTCCAGCCCCGAGCTTCTGATCCAGCGGGGCTGAGGGCCCAGGACACTACTGACACTGTAGGTCTGGGTCCACGGAGTCTTTGCAAGGGGAGGAACCATGTCTCACTCACAGCTGTACCCCAGTGTCCCCACATGGTTGAACCCCAATACATTTTTGCCGAATGAACGACCATTGTAACTGTCATTTCTAGAAACGACTTTACTACTTGCTTCTGTGTACTTGTCGCAGGCACCCTGTGCACATGTTCATTTCAAAACTACCCATATGCCGGGCACTACGGCCCTGACCTGGAGGGGTTCTCCAGTTAAATTACACCCATCCCCATAAGACACTAGTATCACTGTTTCCCTATACTCTCTGGACAGCTCAATCCGGGAGCCTTCTGCCACTGAAGTGGAAGAGGACAACCCGCCTACCCAAACCTTGCAGAGAACACCCACATAAAACAGGTCAATGTATTCCACACACACTCATGAAAAAAAATTGCCTGGAGGGAACACAAGTACCTGTGTCCACACTGAAAAGCCAGAGATGGTCAAGGGCTTGTCCAGTTGCTAGAAACCGAAGCCCAGAGGGCACCCCAGGAAATGGCCCCACAACTCAAAGTGCTACTGAGGCTTTTGGGGGTTTCCTCTGTAAGTCCTTTCACATTCCCGGAGCAGGCATTTTTCAAATCTTCTGCCTAATCTGCATGTTACCATAGTCACATTCATTCCGAAAAACAGGTGCTTCTGTTAAAATTAGCTGTTTCAAACTGTCAAATATTTTAGATCCTTATGCCAGCTTTAAAAAAAGAAAGTGTAACATAACCAATCAGATGTACCTGATGCTTCAAGAATTTTAAAACTCTAAGTATTTTTTGAGAAATGTGACTGTAAATTAGAAAAAACTGTGGTGATGAGGGTAAGGGTGGGGGGGGGGATATACACACACACACACACAAATTTTTGCATTCCCTAACATCAAACCAAAATGAATAAGAGAAGGCCAAGCCTCACACAGCCAAGACAGACCTGTGCTTTTTTCAAATTAAGTCTTGAGTTTGAAAGCCTTGGTCCCGTTTACTTGGGCGACTGTCATAAATAATGGCTCCTGTTCCGAGAACGTAGCTGTAATGGTTTCCTTCTCTAGTGACCGACATCCCGGATCAAGACGGTGCCCATTAAGCCTGTGTAAGAAAACGTGCCCTGGGAAGTCGGAAGAACCAAAGCACTGGTGTCTTAAATGAACTCGAGTGTGGTTTAATTTAAAAAAAAAAAAAATCAGGCCACCGTGATTTTATTCCTGGCACCAGTATCTCTGCTGACCTTATTAAACCCAATGAAATAGGTCTGAGGAGCCCCTTTTTAAAAATCAGGGCTATTTTAAAAAACAAGTTTAGCAACCTGGTACATTGGAAAACAGCTGAAATGTCAAAGGCCTGTGCCCAAATTCTGTGCCTCGCCAAGCAATGCGGACACAGAGATACTGTGCGCTCCTCACGCTGGTGTCCTGATTCCTGTGGAAAAAATACAAGCAGGATGCATTTCAAGCCACCTGCTGGAAGAAAAACTATCTTAGGGACAGAGGAGAAAAAAAGAGGTGAGCACACCACTGAAACTCAACAATTCAGGACACAGAGTTTGAATATTCTAAGTCAAAACCTTAAATACACAGAAATGCCAACAGCAACTATCGCTTTGCTAAGAGAAAAAGAAGTTCCACAATTAATTGGGGACTAGCTAGTCAGGAGCATCCAAGTAGATGGGGAAAGGGATGGGGGCTTGCACTGTCCTGAAAATTGCTTTTGCAAGAAATGAGTCTAAGGAACAATGGCAAGTCTTTCTCAATCAAATATCAAAGTTACAAAATTCATGGCCTTAATTTTATTTTTCTTTGTTCCTTTCAAGTTTCTTCTTTGTGATCTGCATAGGCTAAATGAACTAGTAATTCCAAACGCTCGAGCCGGCCCAGTGGCTCAGTTTGTTAAGAGCTCACTCAAGAGTGCGAGCTCTGGATAACAGCGGTTCGAGTCCCAGCCCGAGCTGAGCTGCCGCTGTGCTGCCAACAGGCGGCAGGATGGCTCAGCTAAAAAAAAAAACAAAACCAAAACTCTAGGATTACTTATGAAAATCCAGTAAATAAAAATAAGGAAAAATTCCTATGGGCATGCAGGGCTCTCAATAGCCCTTGGGTTAGTTTTCCTCCCCCCAAACACTTCCTGAACCCAACCGACCCAGAGTTTAAAGACGGGCTGGGAGGGAAGCTTAAGCATCCTCAAGCTCATTTTCATCTTTCAAAAACCTTCAAAATTTAAATCTACCAGGACCTAGGAGAAAAATACACCAGCTTTCTCGACCGTTAAAAAAAATGTATGGGGCCGGCCGAGTGGTGCAATGGTTAAGAGCTGGCTTGGGACGCCAGAGGGCCCCGGTTCGGATCCCACATATGAGGGCCAGTGACACTGCCCTCTACAGCTAAGATGCTGAACAACGGCTCAACCTGGAGCTGGGCTGCCGGGAGTCGCTGGCGATGGCGTAGGCTGCAGCACCTACTGCAGTGGGTTGCCATGGGCTACCATGTGTAGCCAGCAGCCAGCATGAGCGGCCAGCAGCCTCAGTGAGCCGCCGTCCAGAAGCCGGCGACTGATCTGCCTCGCCCAGGAAGAGCGCAATGATGGTGCCACTTGGGCCAGTGAAGCAACGTCCTCCACAACTAGACTGAAGAACAAAACAACAGCAACTTGTCTGTTCCCCTTCCCCCAATTCCCCAATAAAAATCTTAAAAAAAAAAAATGTATGTACCCCACCACTTTATGAATTTTCAAACTTCAAATTCACAGAAACTAAACAGCCTGAGTCTTATCAACACAGGTTTAAAGACATTTTACGTGCTGGATATTAAATTCTCGTAACAAGACAGCATTCAAGTAAAAAGAGTCACTATGACTTTTCTCTCTAACATATTATGGTGAGAAATTCTTTTCAGATCCGTGGGAACTGCAAAGGCTTAGCCACAACAAATCCCAAGGAAAATGTAAACTGAGCCAGTTTCAAGCACATATGAGTTTTTATCCATGGGGCTTTCCCAGGGCAGGCAGGGCAAATAAATCCGTTGTATTTTCAGCGGGAAAATGTCCAAAACTTCACGAGGCTCAGTAAAACCATACACCCATCCCGCCCAAATTTTTTTCTTAAAATGTTTGCAGAAAGTACAAACTACCTTTAAATAGTTCCAAATTTCAATTAACAAAGCATTCTTCCAACATACAATCAAACCAGGGCATATCTTAGATCAAAGTCTCAAGAAAGAAACCTTATGCTGCAATTTATGCTGTGATTCTAGAAAGTTCTTAACACTTCCCAGAATCTCTCTCCCTCTATTAGCCTAGAATGCACTACGCTTTCTTCTAAAATCATTAGCAATGGGGTCTTGTCCAAATAGACCTGCCCACAGAAGGGGCTCACACTGCCATCCGATGTAAGGTCCTTTACAGTTCCACACGCTGTCCCCTGACCTGGGAAGGCTAGCGCCCCACGCAGGACGAGCGAGAGCCTGAAGCTGAAAAAGACAGGCAGGAGACATATCCGACTCTCCTTCTTCTTGAAACCTAGGCTGCTCAGGGAAGTAACTCTTGAGGAAAAAGAAAGGGTTGAGAATTGGGGACCCACCTCGCTGCTACTGAAGAGGGTTTTACAGGGTGCTTTTCCAGTGATAACACTGCAGCATGCAACACCACGATGACTGAAAATCCATAATAACTGCAAAAAGCCATCTGAGAAACATAACATTTTAATAGATGAAATAAATACTCCAGTACATGCAAGGTAAAAACTTGACATTGGGGGGAAAAAAATCACTCTATAGTGTAAATTAAAAAATAAAACACACACTCACAGTAGCTTTTCCCCCCATTTGCAAATCACATGGCAAAATCATACTCTTTCCACACCAAGTATACGCCTAATCCAACCTAAAAAAATAACAACATACAAAAAAAGGTAGCTACATCCATGTCTAAGGAGTGAAAACTGAGGTAACCTTTCTTTTAATTAGGAAAAAAAAAGGACCGAAAAAGAAATGAACCCATGACCTTCTTCCTGCCCAATTAATTAATAACACAATTTAGCTGAGGGATTCCTGAAGAGGAGCCGGGGCGGGGTGAGGGTAACGCCGCAAACAGCAGATCACACATCTTCCGTCTCCAGGTCCCTACGGTGTATGGGCTGCTGGGCACAGGGCCCTTCGAGTGCATGTGTAAAGTGAATGTATGGCCCTGCCTTCTGGAAGATTCCTCTGGAGCATGTTAACATGGGGGGTGAGGGGGAGCTTTCACCTATGATTTCTTTGGTATAAATGGAGAGGGGCAGACATTAAATATCTTCCTTTAGTCTGGGGGTGGAAGACAGGGGACGGGGTGGGTGGATGGGCGCTAATTCACAGAATTGGAATTCACTGGCGGTAAAGTCCTGGGCGAAGACCTCTCCCTTAAAGCCTGAGATAGCAGGGTGCAGCCTTCAGACACGGCGCAGGCCGAGTTCCTCAGCCTCTCCCTGTGGTCCGACATCTTGGCGCCCCCGTCGGGGTGCTGCGCCAGATCCCTGAGGCACTGGGTCAGGAGCACGCAGGCCGACACCACGCTCATCGCGCCGCCCAGAATGGCGGTCTGCACCGCCTTGCCCTCGGCGCTCACGGCCGCCGCGCGACCCAGGAACTGCGGCTCGGTGGCGAAGCCCACCAGCGCGCTCACCGCCTGCACCAGCGGCCCGCTGAAAAGCGCGCAGCGACTGCGCGCCAGCTCGCTGGGCGCTGCCTTGACCTCACGCACACAGGCCAGCAGCGCCGACGCGCTCGTGCTCATGCACTTGACGCCCAGCTTGAACTGCTCGCGCGCAAAGCGGTCCCGGGACTTGTCACTGGCCAGGGCGCACGCGTCCGTAAGGAACTTGAGGTTGCGCGACAGGCCCTGGGACACCTCCAGCAGCAGCTGCGGGGTCATGTCGGCCAGCGGGGTGGCGCGCAGTACGGCGCAGCCCTGCTCCACCTCGTGCCGGCAGCGCGTCACGCGGTAGCGGTCCACCAGGCCAGGCTGCGCAGGCTGCGCCCCCGGCGTGGCCACGGCCGCCAGGTAGGCCGCGTGGGCAGAGCACTCTGTCAGTGAAACCACCAGGTCGCCCAGCTCCACCAAGCTGTCCCCCGCCTCCCCGAAGCGGCCCATGTTGAGCTGGCTCTGCACGTCGTGCGTGAGGATGGAGAGCCCCTTGGTGCGCGCGATGATGGTGTCCCGGCACTGCTCGAAGGACTCGGCACCGGCGGAGGCGAGACCCTCGAAGAGCACAGGACGCGCCTCGCTCGACAGCAGCAGGAGGTCGGCCACCAGCTGCATCTTGCTCTTGCAGTGGTCGCAGACGGACACCAGCCTCTTCCGAGGCTGCGAGCTGGCCCCGACGACGGCGCTCGCAGGAGCCGGAGAAGCCGCCTCGCTGGTGGGCTTCCCCGCGCTGCCGCTAGCCATCACGCCCGGGGGGCACTGGCATGCCGCTGGGGAGCCCGCTACCGCCGCCGCTGCCACTGCCGCCGCCCCCGCGGCCGTCGCGACTCAGCTGGCCAGGGCCGGGGTGCCTTCCCCGCACCATCATGCCATCCACCGCCGCGGGCGGAGGACTTGGGCCGGCGGCGGCGCAGGAGGTTCTTCGCGGCGCGGGGAGGGGCTGTGGCGTTCGGCCTCCGGGAGGGCTTGCAGGAACCATGAACCAAGCGCAGCAAACTCACGGTCCGCGGACCTCGTCGCCGGGCCGCCAGGAAAGTCCCTTCTGCCGGGCCGCGGCCGCCGCCTTCCTGGGCATGGCCCGGCCTGGCCGCCGGAGCGGGAGGGCGGGAGGAGAAGCTGGGAGTTGTCCTTCCTTCCTTCCTTTCTTTCTTTGAAATCAAAACCCCTTCCTCGGGGGGGAGCGCGCGCGGCGGCCCGGGCGGGCGCTGCTGTCAGCCTCCTCGGCTCGGCGGCGCACGTGGGCTTCAGGAGCCGGGACCCTGCCCGGCAGCACTTCCCCGCGACGGCGGCCGGGGCTGGCGCTTGGGGACGCGCGGCCGCCCCGGCGCATCTCCTGCCTCCGACTCTCGGGAAGCGGCCCGGCGGCGGCGGCGGGGCCGAGGGTGTGGCCGGTGCTGGCGCGGCCGCGCCGAATGAGTCGGGCGGGAGCCGAACGGATT